CCCGGGAAGCCATCTGGCCCTGGGCTTTTGTTTGTTTGGAGATTTTTGATGACTGTTTCAATCTCCTTACTGGTTATGGGTCTGTTGAGGCTTTCTATTTCTTCCTGGTTCAGTTGTGGTAGTTTATATGTCTCTAGGAATGCATCCATTTCTTCCAGATTGTCAAATTTGTTGGCGTAGAGTTGCTCATAGTATGTTCTTATAATTGTCTGTATTTCTTTGGTGTTAGTTGTGATCTCCCCTCTTTCATTCATGATTTTATTTATTTGGGTCCTTTCTCTTTTCTTTTTGATAAGTCTGGCCAGGGGTTTATCGATCTTATTAATTCTTTCAAAGAACCAGCTCCTAGTTTCGTTGATTTGTTCTATTGTTTTTTTGGTTTCTATTTCATTGATTTCTGCTCTGATCTTTATGATTTCTCTTCTCCTGCTGGGTTTAGGGTTTCTTTCTTGTTCTTTCTCCAGCTCCTTTAGGTGTAGGGTTAGGTTGTGTACCTGAGACCTTTCTTGTTTCTTGAGAAAGGCTTGTACCGCTATATATTTTCCTCTCAGGACTGCCTTTGTCGTGTCCCACAGATTTTGAACCGTTGTGTTTTCATTATCATTTGTTTCCATGAATTTTTTCAACTCTTCTTTAATTTCCTGGTTGACCCATTCATTCTTTAGAAGGATGCTGTTTAGTCTCCATGTATTTCGGTTCTTTCCAAATTTCCTCTTGTGATTGAGTTCTAGCTTCAGAGCATTGTGGTCTGAAAATATGCAGGGAATGATTCCAATCTTTTGATAACGGTTGAGACCTGATTTAGGACCAAGAATATGATCTATTCTGGAGAATGTTCCATGTGCACTAGAGAAGAATGTGTATTCTGTTGCTTTGGGATGAAATGTTCTGAATATATCTGTGATGTCCATCTGGTCCAGTGTGTCATTTAAGGCCTTGATTTCCTTGTTGATCTTTTGCTTGGATGATCTGTCCATTTCAGTGAGGGGAGTGTTAAAGTCCCCTACTATTATTGTATTATTGTCGATGTGTTTCTTTGATTTTGTTATTAATTGGTTTATATAGTTGGCTGCTCCCACGTTAGGGGCATAGATATTTAAAATTGTTAGATCTTCTTGTTGGACAGTTCCTTTGAGTATGATATAGTGTCCTTCCTCATCTCTTATTATAGTCTTTGGCTTAAAATCTAATTGATCTGATATAAGGATTGCCACTCCTGCTTTCTTCTGATGTCCATTAGCATGGTAAATTCTTTTCCACCCCCTCACTTTAAATCTGGAGGTGTCTTCGGGTTTAAGATGAGTTTCTTGTAGGCAACATATAGATGGGTTTTGTTTTTTTATCCATTCTGATACCCTGTGTCTTTTGATTGGGGCATTTAGCCCATTAACATTCAGGGTAAGTATTGAGAGATATGAATTTAGTGCCATTGTATTGCCTGTAAGGTGACTGTTATTGTATATTGTCTCTGTTTCTTTCTGATCTACTACTTTTAGGGTCTCTCTTTGCTTAGAGGACCCCTTTCAATATTTCCTGTAGAGCTGGTTTGGTATTTGCAAATTCTTTCAGTTTTTGTTTATCCTGGAAGCTTTTAATCTCTCCTTCTATTTTCAATGATAGCCTAGCTGGATATAGTATTCTTGGCTGCATGTTTTTCTCGTTTAGTACTCTGAATATATCATGCCAGCTCTTTCTGGCCTGCCAGGTCTCTGTGGATAAGTCTGCTGCCAATCTAATATTTTTACCATTGTATGTTACAGACTTCTTTTCCCGGGCTGCTTTCAGGATCTTCTCTTTGTCACTAAGAGTTGTAAATTTTACTATTAGGTTACGGGGTGTGGACCTATTCTTATTGATTTTGAGGGGGGTTCTCTGAATCTCCTGGATTTTGATGCTTGTTCCCTTTGCCATATTGGGGAAATTCTCTCCAATAATTCTCTCCAATATACCTTCTGCTCCCCTCTCTGTTTCCTCTTCTTCTAGAATCCCAATTATTCTAATGTTGTTTCGTCTTATGGTGTCACTTATCTCTCGAATTCTCCCCTCATGGTCCAGTAGCTGTTTGTCCCTCTTTTGCTCAGCTTCTTTATTCTCTGTCATTTGGTCTTCTATATCGCTAATTCTTTCTTCTGCCTCATTTATCCTAGCAGTGAGAGCCTCCATTTTTGATTGCACCTCATTAATAGCTTTTTTGATGTCAACTTGGTTAGATTTTAGTTCTTTTATTTCTCCAGAAAGGGCTTTTATATCTCCCGAGAGGGTTTCTCTAATATCTTCCATGCCTTTTTCAAGCCCGGCTAGAACCTTGAGAATCGTCATTCTGAACTCTAGATCTGACATATTACCAACGTCTGTATTGATTAGGTCCCTAGCCTTTGGTACTGCCTCTTGTTCTTTTTTTTGTGGTGAATTTTTCTGCCTTGTCATTTTGTCCAGATAAGAGTAGATGAAGGAGCAAGTAAAATACTAAAAGGGTGGCAAAAACCCCAGGAAAATATGCTTTAGCCAAATCAGAAGAGATCCCAAATCATGAGGGGGAGAAAGGGGATAAAAAGAGGTTCAGAAAGAAGAAAAAATAAAAAAAGAAGAAGAAGAAGAAAAAAAGGAAGAAACAATTAAAAAAAGAAAACCAATAAAGAAAAAAATATAAAAAGGAAAAAAATATATATATATTAGATAAACTAGTTAAAAAACGTTAAAAAAGAAAAGGGTAAAAGTTAAAAAAATTTAGCAGAAGAAGAAAAATAAATTGAAAAAGAAAAAAAATTAAATTAACTGCAAGGCTAAAGAATCATGGGGAGAAAGCCATGAGTTCCGTGCTTTGCTTTCTCCTCCTTTGGAATTACGCTGCTCTCCTTGGTATTGAAACTGTACTCCTTGGTAGGTGAACTTGATCCTGGCTGGGCTTCTTGTTGATCTTCTCGGGGAGGGGCCTGTTGTAGTGATTCTCAAGTGTCTTTGCCCCGGGCGGAGTTGCACCGCCCTTACCAGGGGCCAGGCTGAGTAATCCGCTGGGGTTTGCTTTCGGGAGCTTTTGTTCCCTGAGCGCTTTCCGTAGAGTTCCGGAGGGCGGGAATGAAGATGGCGGCCTCCCAGTCTCCGGCCCGGAGGAGTCGAGAGCCCGGGGCCCCACTCCTCAGTGTGCCCTCAGAGAACAGCGCCGATTTACTCCCGTCACCCTGCCTCCGGCCGCGCTCCGAGCTGACCGAGCCTGAGACCGGTTCAAGGTAACCCCGAGCTTAGAGCTTACTCCTTGGCTCTGTCTCTGTAGCCGGCTTCCCTGTTCTAATACTTGTAAGCTCTGCGACACTCAGACACCCCTCATCCTTCTGTGACCCTGCGGGACCTGAGGCCACACTGACCCTGCGTGGGCTTCACCCCGGTTAAGCCTCTGGAGCGATGTCCCTCAGCGGAACAGACTTTTAAAAGTCCCGATTTTGTGCTCCGTTGCTCCGCCGCTTGCCGGGAGCCGGCCCCTCCCCCCGTGGTCTATCTTCCCGTCGCTTTGGATTCACTTCTCCGCCCGTCCTACCTTTCAGAAAGTGGTTGATTTTCTGTTTCTAGAGTTGCTGTTCTTCTTCTCTTCGATCTCCCGTTGGATTTGTAGGTGTTTGCAATCTTTAGATAAGCTATCTAGCTGATCTCCCGCTACCTGAAGTAGTCTCAGCCTGCTACTTCTCCGCCATCTTCTGTTTTATTTTTTAAGATTTTATTTATTTATTTGGGAGATAAAGAGCATGAGTATGGTCAGAGTGAGAAGCAGATTCTCAATTGAGCAGGGAGCCCAACACAGGGCTTGATCTCAGGACCCTGGGATCATGATCTGAGCCAAAGGCAGACATTTAACCGACTTAGCCACCCTAGTGCCTCAGTTTATATGTTTTTAAAATGGTAAGATTTTCTGAGCAATTCTCCTCAAATATATGCCCTCAATCATTTCTGTCATAGAAATCAAACAAGTCATTGCAAGTCATTGGGAGCCATGTTGCTATTTTAATTGGGTGAGCCTTGCCTAGATGCTTAAATGAATTTGAAATTATTTCCAGAGTAGAGTGAGTTGGTCCATAGCCATTTGACTAAAGAAAAAACTACTTTGTGTCATAGAAATGGTAAAACAAAACAAACAACAAAACAACAACAACAAAACATTCTAAGGATCTGTTACCAATAATTGAAATGTTACAATGTTAAAAAATTTAGAACAGTACTGGTTGTAAGCAGGTTAGTTTGAAGAATACACTCAAGTGATTTTAAAACACTCCAGAATGGCTAAACAATTTTGTTATTCTTAAAACTAATTTTTTAAGAGAAAATTACATTTATCCTCTCTGGAATTATGGGCCCATTTAAACCACTTATTATTATAAGAGCTATTTAAACCACTTATCATTAATACCACTTATTATATATATATTATATGTATATATAATATATATTATACCACTTATATATATATATTATATATATATTATACCACTTATATATAAACCACTTATTATTATAAGAGATAAATTACATTTATCCTCTCTAGAATTATGGGTCCATTTAAACCACTTCCATCACCAAGGATTAGTTGGGATCCTGAGTGCTCCTTACAACTTGTGGAATCAATCAACTTGGTTTCCTAAGTGCTTCCCAATATCTATCCACACTCTGCCCACCCCCCCAATAAAGTGACATTAAAGGGACTAGGTTCCAAAAGAGTCAGACTACCAGGAGACATTTCAGAGTGTTGTGCCGATAATCACCATGGAATGCATTTTAGACCGTTAGACTTCATTTTTCCCATCAGTTGGGTAAGAATGCCAATCCCAAGTATATATTCTGTCAGGTCAAAAATTTCCACCACCCCGACAGATTCGTAGTACAAGTTCAACTACTAAAAGAGCGCTTCTCCCAGTGTTAAGGAGCTGCTCCGGGTGAAAATAAATTAATTTCCGGAGCATCAGACTACAGGGCTCTGTTCTTACCACCTGATGTCCCCCAGGCTGAGTACTCACCCCATCAGGCCTGCCGTCCGAAGCAGTGATGATCAGAATGTAGCGATCGGTGCTCTCCCTGTCCAGGGCTTTCCCTAAGGTTAGAATCCCAGTACTAGTGACAGAGAAAACAGACAGACAGATAAGACACACAAAGATCTTACGTCACAGGGAGGCTTCCTTCCCATCTGGAACTACTTTCCACTGGTTTTTCCCTTTCAGCAAATGTAGCCTGAATATTTAAGATGCGTGATTCTAAGATTCATGTTGAAAATTGAAAAAAGCTTTTAAGGCTGTTGGGCTTCTTAGCAACAGTGAACAATTGCCAAACTGAAGGAGATAATCTAGCTGATTCTCCAGCCCCCAGGAGAAAAATAAAACTGTGCTTAATTCATTCTGGGAAGAAAGATATCAATCTTGTTTATGATTATTTCAAAGGTGGAAGACTCTAGTAATCTTTAGTAGTTTCATAATCCTTTGAATCAAGGAATGGTTTCTTAGAACTAATATATATTGTCATTCCCATTCATTGTCACATACACTGCCATGCTGGAAATGCAAACATCTGAATCCCATCTTTTATAAACACTAACAATTAACATCTATTTTTTCTTCTTTCCTAGTTTCCAAACAATTGAGGCTCATCGGAGAAAATTAGAAAATATGCAGTGGAATATTAAAACTTTCACAGATATTGGGATTATTTTTGAGACATTTCTTTTATTCTCTATAATAACCATATCTGAACACGTTATATTGTTTCCCAAAGAAGAATTAGACTGTGTGTTTTATATTCTATTTAAGAAAAGAGAATTTTATGAGCATTCACTCTCTAATTTTATAGTTTATGAAAACAAACTTTTGTCAGATATACTAACAATTTTATCATTTTGTTATTCTTTGGAATTTTAGATGTTTCTTAATTTTATTTATTATGTATAATGGGAGATGAACAGCCTTTGGACAAATTCTCATAATTTGAATATTCTAATACTACTTCTTTCCCTTTCATTGTTTAAAATAAATGCTACAAGTATTTAAGATTGTCTTCTGCAATGTAAATTTTTTGTGACAGTTTGGTCACTTATAATGCTCTCTAAAACAAGCTCCACATTTATGTCTTAGATATTACCACCTGATATCCTACCTGACACTTTAATAAAGTCCTAACAAACATATATTGTAGTGGATAGGTTATATTAATATAATAAAACATTAAAACATTTATTCAAGGATGAAAACAATCTTTTTTGATTGATAGAACACTTTCACATTTTAATACAAGTGCTTTTATTGTTACAGTGGAATTTAAGCCATTCATATCACACATGGTAGTTGGGTAAAGAGACTCAACATCAATGAATCAGAGTCAGAGTCACAGCTACTCTGTTTTATTGTGTTGCTGTTGATCAACAGACTTTGAAGTTCTGAACGTATGGTAGAACTATGGAAACTGTGGAAAACTAACTCTACAACTTGTACATTTTTAAAAGTTTTGTCAAAATAACTGAAAACCAGTTCCCAGAGTAGTTCATAACAATGGCTTTGGAGTAATTTCCCACACTGCAGATGGTTCAGATAATCTCATTCTAAAATGACTTCAAGAGAAAAGCAGGACATGTGTTACTTCTGAGACTTATTCACAAATAAGCTACTTAAGAAATAGGAGACCTTGAAAACCCATCCAATGAAAGAAAAAAAGAAAACTGAGTTATTGCTCTCCATTTTTTCCCCTCAGTTTATGATTCAAATCTTTATATTCTTCTTTATACATTAAACTAGAAAATCTCTATAAATACATATAGTATTCCCATTTAAAGCCATATTATATACAAACAGCTAGTTTTTATTGGTCTGGTTATTATCATGGAGAGAGTTCTTTGCTTGAGAGGATGTGTGCCTCATGTCCCAGTGCAGCAGGCAGTTAGACAGGATATTTGGGAGATTAAGAAAGAGAAAAGGATAAGGTAGCATATTTTGGTAATTATAATAGACTAGTTGATGGGTACACACAAGTGTGTCTTCCTGAAATTCTGGAACTAACTAGCAAAGGTAAGTCTTTGTATCAGCTGGCTGGAAGATAGAGCAGGATACACTGAGCTACATTTAGGAATGCAGGAAATCTCATGAGTCCACATAATAAAAATACAGAAGGGTCATTTCTGGTAAAACATCAACAATGGTGCTACTTAAATTTTGCATAACTGAAAATCAATTTCACAGGAGCAACATCAGTGGTCTTGAAGATGGCCGTCAGCATTCTCACTGTGACACTCTGGTCCCTGTTTCTGGAGGGAGCAGAACTATCTTGATTCACAAAGAATTGTGTTTCCCGGTCTACAGTTTACCTGAAGGAATAATGCATGCTGCTTGTCTTTATTTTGCCTAACTCACTGGAGGCAGAAAAGTAAGGGGTTTTTCTGGAAGACACTGAAAGGCAAGAAACAGCCTGCAGTCACCTCGGGCAAAAAAAATACACACACACACACACACACACACACACACACATACACACATGGCTGGGGTGTACAATAGAGCGCTGGAAACTGGGAGGAAAAGATGGGTAGAGAGCTTCTTGGGAAACTGAGACATTTAAGAGCACCATGTAAGCTTGGGAATGGAACAGAATTGAGAGTCCAGAGATAAACCTATACATCTGTGGCCAACTGATTTTTCAACAAAGATGCCAAGATCACTCAACAGGGAAAGAATTGTCTCAAAAAATGGTGCTGGGGCAATTGGAGATCTCCACATGAAAGAATGAAGTTGGACCATTTTATTACCCCATATATAGAAATTAGGTCAAAATGGGTCAACAATAAATACTGAAACCATGAAACCCTTAGACAAAAACTTGAGAATAAATCTTCATTATCTTAGATTCAAAAATGGATTCTTAGATGTGACCGTGAGAGCATGAGAAACAAAAGAAAAAATAGGTATACTGGACTTCACCAAAATTAAGAATTTTTGCTATCATAAAGTGGGAGAAAATCCCTAGAAAATGAGAGAAAATTCTTGCAAATCATATATGTGATAAGAATCTGGCTTCCCAAATGTATAAAGGACACTTACAACTCTACAACAGAAGTACAAATGACCCAATTAAAATTAGTCAAAGGAATTGAACAGCTATTTCTCCAAAGAAGATGCAAACATGACAAACAAATACATGAAAATATTCTCTTCAGGGAAATAAAAATCAAAATGACAGTGAAATACCACTTCACACCCACTACAATAGATACAATTAACAAAAACGAAACAAATGGGAAAATAACATGTTGACAAAGATATAAAGGAACTAGAACACTTGTGCAGTGCTGGTGGGAATAGAAAATGGTCTAGCCACCGTGGGAAACAGTTTGGCAGTTCCAGAAACTAAACATAAAATTACAGTATGACCCAGCAACTCCAATTCGAGAATATACTCAAAAGAACTGAAAACAGATTCTTAAATACACATACATATGTGTCCACAGTAGCAATACTGACAATAGTCAAGGCATAGAAAACCAGCCCAAATGTCCATCCATGAATGAAATGGATAAAAAAATTGTATATACACACACTGAGATATTACACATGTATGAAAAGGAACAGAGTACTGCTATATGCTTCAACATGGTTGAACTTTAAAACATTAGGCTAAGTGAAAGAAGCCAGACACAACAGGTCACATGTTATATTCTTCCTTTTATATGAAATATCCAGAATAGATCAATCTACAGAGACAGGACATAAATTGGTGGTTGCTGGGATGAGGGGAGGGGCCAGTCAGGAAGAGCTGCTTGTTGGGTCCAGTTTCCTTTTGACTGATAAAGATATTCTGGAACTAGATACAAGGGGTCATTGCACAACACTGAGTCTGCCAAATGCCACTGAGTTGTGAACTGAGTTGTTCACTTTGAAATGGTTAATTGGATGCTATGTGAATTTCACTCCAATTACATTAATTAGATTATACAGAATTCCCTCACTGATCCAAAGGCTATATTTCCGAAATGTATGGTGCTGGACAAAAATCAAGCTTTTTGAGACAATGAGTTGCTCTGCCTAACCATGAAAGTGGTGTTCAAAGAGTTGTTCAAGCCATGTAAATAAAACATAGAGGAGGGTATCTACTTCCACACAAACCAATCTCCTGGCACATAAAACCTGCTCCTCCCAGGAGCCGTCTTCCCAAATTGTACAGTGGATTAGGAAATACTTCAGCAGCCACGTCACGGGCTGATGGAAATTTTCTCACTGGTTTCATGCTTTGTATTCTAGGCTTCCTTAAAACGTTGTCAATATATTCCACTGGCTGTAATTTAATATCATTTGCACTTACAAGTGTCTGAGTCTTTGAGAGATTTATCATGCTGCCCATGGGCACCATGTTTCAAGCCTCATAATGATATTCAGAGAGACTAGAGTGTACTTGAAAATGCATGATTGCTTCAAGTCAGATGCAGTGTTTCGTGTTAAAGAGTGATTAGCAGTTAGCAAATGCAGACCAACAGAGGGAGGTGGGTATTGGCAGAGGTTCAGAAAAGCTGGTCGGTAGCAGGAGCTGAGGAGGGTCAAGGACAAGAGAAAGTAGATCCATTTGAATACAGATTTGGAAAGTAGGGGTGACACACAGAAAATGCGAATCACTGCCTTCTATGTTATGTAATCTTCAGTGACATCCTAAAGGGCACACTGATGTGAAAAATATAATAAGCTTTAAAGTTAGTGTCAAAATGAATTTAGTCATGTAGAAAAAAAAATGCCAGGGAAGATAAAAAGAAAATTTTTCAAATAAAATGCTAACAAGGGGCAGATCTAAACTCTTTGAGGTTTTTCTGTTCAGCATCTGAGGCTTTCACTATTCTATCACATCCCCTGTATACAATTCCATTCAGAGGAATCCCTCATTCTCCTTCAATAAATAACGTCAATATTTGGCCATCACCCTAGAAAGGAAGTGTTGCTTTCATCTTGTTTAAATGTTTACTGATCTGTGAGTATTTGATGAATAAATATTTGCTGTATCATATGCAATAATCAACAATGACATTATGAAAAGTTGTTAAAATAATGCAGTGTGTTACAGAATCACACAGATGTGTCATTTAACCAGTGCCATGGAATGATTTTCATGACAACCGCTTGTGATTTTTAGGAACACAGACCTTTTTTTAAAGAGTGGGTTTCTTTCTTTCGTGGCCACAGGACTAATCCAATACATTAATATGAGATAACAAGCCAACATTTTCTAAATCCATAGTAGCATTGAAACCATTCTTTATTACTACTGATTTTTTTAAAGATTTATGATAAGTTTTGGTCTAGTTTTATTTCAACAGAACAAGGTAAACTAATGTTTTTGTAATGATGATTATTGTCACAATTTGTATCATACTGTAAAATAATATATTTAAAGTAAGCAATGAATGTGTACTTTTTTTGTTGTTCTAAGAAGGAAAATGTAATCAGAAACATTATTTGTATGCATTATAGTGTCTGATAAGGTCGACCATTCTTTCTTATCTGTTATTCTCTATAAGAGTACCTGAAGTATTGAAATCCTTAAGATTCAAATAGAAGTGGTGGTGCAAATCTGCACAGGCAGCCCTGAAGTTTCAGAGAAGGAAGGGATTAAAATTGCAATTTTTCCCCATTTCAAATGTGTGGAAATATATTGGTAATGGTCTAGGATAGCCTGCAAGTCTAATGACAGCAACGGCAATGAGGTAGCTAGAAAGCAATGGCTCAAGAATGGTCATTGAAAGAGATCATGCAAGCCTCACAAGGACGCCCCCTCGTCTAGCTGTCCTAGAAGCATTTTGCACTTAAAGAGTTGATGCATAAGCTGTGGTGTTAGGAACAGTCAGTGTAGATAAGGAGGTTGCCATCTTGACATTTTTCACACCTGCAAGAACCTCTGTGACCCAGGTAGGTGTCTCCCTGGTTTCAAAGACAGAGATGAGAGAAACAGTAGAGACACACTTGCTAGGGTAGACAGCACGAGGGGAGAATTTCTTCAGTCAACTTGGCAGCTAATCAACTTTCCCCAACTGTGGTTGAAAACCTTTCAGCCTCAAGAGAAAAATAGATAAACACAGGAGTGGAAATCCCTCACAGAGGGTAAGGGCTGGGCTTCCTGGGCAGGAGAAAGGCTCACTACTGTCCTTTTCAAAAACAGTTTTATTAATTAACGTATAACTCACATGTGATCAAATTCACCCAGTTAGATGGTACGGTTCAGTGAATGTTGGTATATAGTTGTCCAACTGTCACCACAATCAAATCTGGAACATGCTCTTCATACTACATCACACACTGGAAGTCTCTCCCTGTTCTCTCCCAACCCTACCTCCCAGCCCTGGCAACCACTAATCTACTTTTTTTTTTTTTTTTAATCTGTATGGATTTACCTATTCTGGACATTTTGTACAAATGGGACCATACCCTATGCGGTCCTTTGTGAATGACTTTCTGCTCAGAATAATGTTTCTAAGGTTCATCCGTGTTCTAGCAGGTGTCAACATTAAGTTCTCCTTTATTGACAAAATCATTGTATGGATACACAATGATTCTGTTTGCCCATTCATCTATATATAGATGGATATTCGAGTGGTTTCCACCATTTTGTTATTGTAAATAATTCCACTGCGTTCATTCTTATACAACTTTTTATGTGGATGTATGTTTTCATTTCTTGAGTACATACAGGTAGAATTACAGGGTTTTTTAAAATATTTTATTTACTTATTTGACAGAGATTACAAGTAGGTAGAGAGGCAGGCAGAGAGAGAGAGGAGGAAGCACACTCCCTGCTGAGCAGAGAGCCCGATGCGGGGCTCGATCCTAGGACCCTGGAATCATGACCCGAGCTGAAGGCAGAGGCTTTAACCTACTGAGCCACCCACGTACCCCGAATTACAGGGTTAAATGATAACTCTGTGTTTCTTATTTAGAAGAAATGACAAATGGTTCTCCAAAGTACACAGTGACTTTACTTCCCCTCCAGAAATATATGAGGACTCTGAAATCTCACCCATACTTCTTGCTTCCGTCCTTTTTCATTATGGACATTCTACATGGGTGAGAAGCAGTATCTTGTCCTTTTCATTGGCATTTCTCTAATGACTAGTTATCATGAGTGAATCTCCACATGCTATTGGCCATTCATACAGCTTCTTTGGAAAAATGTCTATTCAAGTTCCTGTCCACTTTTATTTGGGTTATTTCTATGCTTATTTTTGGTTATAATAGTTCTTTGTGTTTTCTAGTTATACTTATGTCCTTTCTTATCTACATTATTTAAAAATATTTTCTCTCAGGCTGGTGGTCTTCATTTTCTTAATACTGTCCTTTGAAGCACAGATTTTCCAAATTTTGATGAAGTCCAACTTATCTGTCTTACTATTAATCACTTGTGTTTTTTATGTCATATCTAGGAGAGCGTTGCCTAATTCCGATCATGAATATTTACTTCTGTATTTTCTTTAAAGAGTTATATACTTTAATCTATAGTATTTAGGTCTTGATCCATCTTGAGTTAATTTTGCTAATGGCGTGAGGTAAAGATCCAACTTCATTCTTCTGCATGCAACCCCAAATTTCATTTATTTATTTATTTGACAGAGAAAGAGATATGAGTAGGCAGAGGCAGGCAGAGAGAGACGGGGAAGCAGGCTCCCTACTGAGCAGAGAGCCCTACGCGAGCCTCGATCCCAGGACCCTGAGATCATGACCTGAGCTGAAGGCAGAGGCTTAACCCATTCAGCCACTCAGGCATTCCTGCAAATTTCATTTATTGTAAAGGTTATTCTTTCCTGGTTGGATTGTCTTTGCCTTTTTTGGGAGAGAGTCAGTTGACCATAAATGTTACGATCTGGTTATTTCTGGACTCTTAACTTTATTCTCGTGATCTATACATGTACTTTTATACCTGTACCACACAGTCAGGATTCCTGTTCAAGTGTCCCTTTAAAAAGTTTTATTTCTTTCAGGATGATTGTAAATTATAGCTAATTGAGATTTGTGTGTATCTACAGGGAAAAATTCCAAATAGTTGTCTTTCCATTTTTTCAAGTGGACGTTTATTCGTCTGTGAAATCCAAAAGTCTGAGAAATACTGTTCCCAGGCAAACTAACTCATGGTTGGAACATCCTAGCCAGAGTGAAATTACAGGTGTTCCTCCCAAGACCAGAGACCACACATGATTCCCTTGATTTGGCGTGATGTACCCGTGTTCCTGAGATGAAAGTAGTGTCTGGCTCATTTGTGAAAATTCTCACTTCATAATCATGGGCCCCACTCAGGTTTCTAGCCCCATGAGACAGCAACAGGGTGACTTTGCTCTTAGAGACAGGAAGCCAGTGATCTCTCTGCAAACCTTGGTGCCTCCTTCCCAGCCTCCTGGCTTTCTCCTGGCGGTGACTAACATGATCTCTGCTGCTCTCCAAGGGAAGTAGAATGACACTGATAAAGACCTCAGAAGGTTTAGCAGGGACATGGTGATGCTTTTGTGCTAGCATTTCCAGAATATACCTACATTCCTCAAAAACTGAAGGGTAGACTTTGGTGGTCCTTTAAATGTGTCTGACTTAAGCTTTGTCTTACAAAATTCTCTTTGAATGAACAATTTAGCGCCGCATTACTCTTGGTAGAAATGCCCTTGTTATTATGAGTAACTGACAACTTTAAAGGGATCTAATTAATCCCAGCCTACAAATAAAATGTTTCCACCTCAGTGGATTTTTACCTAGTAAAAATGTTTCAAATAAATAGTCTCCTGGGTAAGATTTCTGAATTCAGAATTATCCCCTGCCCCCAGATCTCATTAGCATTCATAGGAAAAAAAAAAAAAGTAAAATAAAGCTACAAACAGCTGAAAACCTCTGATTAGAAGTCTGTTCCCTTGCCACCAGTATACTATTTAAAATCTTCTAAAAAAATAAATTCTGAAATAATTTTTAACTTACGTTTCTGAAAGATTAAAAACTCGTTGAGGATCTCCATTCTCAATGGCGTATGTTATTGGGTCTCCCTCTCGATCAGTTGCCTTCAGAGAGAAAACATGATTGAATTATCGAGTAATCAATACAGCTCCTGGTCCGTACGGCGGAATATGGGAGCTGGAAAGTAACAGCACAGAATACTCACGAGATGATTAAGGGATAAAAAGTGAGCTAATGTCAAGAGGTAAAATTCAGAATTCCACATCTGACCCCAGCATTTCTGTCATTTCCTCTCATCCAAAAGTAGCAAAATGAATAAGAATAGCATCTTCCTAATTTATACAGAATCTTACCTGGTGCAGAAATAGATTAACACTCTCTTATGGTTTATGTATTTAACTTTAAATGAGTATATCTCTCGAGTTTAAACAAATGTGTTACACTTTGTGTAAATGCTTACAGTGTAAAGAAACTCTGTAGCCCACTGATTTCTTTTTCTGCTGAGTATATATCAAGTCGGGAATATTTATGGTTAAGAATCCTGAATCTGGGGGCACCTGCGTGGCCCTGTCGGTTAAGCAACTGCCTTCAGCTCTGGTCATGATCCCAGGATCCTGGGATTGAGTCCTGTATCGGGCTCCCTGCTCAGTGGGGAGCTCTGCTGCTTCCTCTCCCTCTGCCTGTTGCTCCACCTACTTGTGTTCTCTCTCTGTCAAGTAAATAAATAAAATCTTAAAAAATAAAAAAATCCTGAATCTGGAGCCAGAAACCAGAATTCAAAACTGGCTCCACTTATGAAATGTGTGATTATTTTTCAACTTCTTCATTTGTAAATGAGAACTAGAAGAGTACAAAAGTCCATCAATATCGGGGGTTGGACTGACATGATTTCTGTCCAGGCACATAGAGTGACATCAGGTGCACTAAAAATCTCCAATAAATATTAGCCTTTTACTCCTTTTCCCTCCTTCACCAAAGTCAGAGAAGACAAATCCTAGAGCTTCTGACTTTGAGTATATATCCCTCAACCTGTCATTTCCTCTGAATTTCAGCCATATCCTGTGTCCTCCCTGACCACCCGCTTGGATGAGGGATAAGCATCACCAATTTAAAATATCCAACCCCCCAAATCCTGCTCTCGGTCCCTCCTCCACCCTCAAGAACACCACAGCCTGCTGCTTTCCCTCTTGATAACCTCAGTCAAGAGGGAAAGCAGCAGGCTATGGTGTTCTTGAGGGTGTGGGAGGGACCAAGAGTAGGAGTCAGATTTAATTAAGCAAGTGACCACCTTTTCAGGCCTGCATTGTATTTCCTTGGAGAAATGCTTTTGTATTATGACAGATACACACTCCCTAAAATATGATGGAATAAAATAAAGCAGTAAAATACAATGAAATAATCAACTACCTAGGGTAATACCTTGAAACATTCCATTTATAGCTAAATCTCAAATTTTAAATTGCCTGGAATTAATTATAATAGAGACCTAAGATTAGAGAATAAGAAACAAAATATATTTTTAAACAGACTCAATGGAATTGATAATAGATGCTTGATATTTTCCTCTTATTTTTCGTTCTTTGCCAGGCAAGCATTAGCCAGAAAGATAAAACAGAACTACAAAATAATGAGAGTTATTTTTTTCAAGAAACACAGAATTAGGCTGTATTTAATGAGACAGGGAAACCGAAGGACTCTACAAAAACTTGCTTTTTGCTCCTTTCCCTGCTTCTGTTCTTCCTGGACCTGCAGCCCAACCTTACACAGGCCTGGTAGTGTGTCCTCCTTGTAAGGGACAGGGAGTTCATGATTTCTTTGGACTCCACTAGCACAACATGTAACATCTAAGGAGTGGCCAGGCAAGAATGCCCCAATGTGGTCAGCCCATGTGTATTCTAGACTGATGAGGGAGCAGAAGGCTAGCTGAGGACAAAACACACACAGACACCCTGCAATCCTTCCTACCCACCCCACCCCCCACTCCTGGGAGGGACATGTGTGACATTCTTCCAGGAAACTTTCAACTATCTTTATGTTACTGCCTTGCTAGATGGAAAAACCTTAACTTGAAAACAGTAAAGCCTCTGGTATCTTGTAGGTCCTCTCTAGCATATGAAAGTTCTTTGGAAAACTTCCTTCTTTCTTACCTCCCCGGGCTCCCAAGTCTATAACCAGCCACCCGTCACAATCCTGGAGCTGCCCACTGGTCCTGTTCCCAGGCTTTAATAAAACCACCATTTTGCACCAAAGATGTCTCAAGAAATCTTTCCTGGTCATGGGCTCTGGACCCTCACTTATATTCCAAAACCATATCAAAACCACCCATGCTGGACATCTCAACCCCAAGACCCCTGGCTCTAGGGAACGTGACTTACAGAGGACACTTGGACACCTGTCCTTGTTCTGACCCATTCCTGAACACCTGAAGGATATGCACACTATACAACAATCCTTAATAAAAACCCCAAACTCTGAATAAAGATGAGACTCCCTCTCTTTTCCTTACTATGTCTCCCAGACATTGTCTGTACCTGCACTCTCTTTGTATCTTCAATAAACTCTGTTCTCAACTGCTGCTGGCTCACATTTGATTTCCATCCTATGTGTAGCCAGGGACCCTCTTGGCTGGTCCCCGGGACCCTCTCTGAGTCCTCGGACCCAGCCTGCTCATGCCATTAAGAAACTGCTTTTTATCACTGAAAAGCTCCCACTAAACTTTTTCTGTTGTTTTTCTCTTTCAACCAGTCATTTTTACCTATAATATCTATATATCTATAATATCGTATTATTATAGATATTATCAAATTTTTTTGTTTGTTCATTGATACACGGTTGCTGTTACTTTCTGAAAGACAATTTATTGTCTTGCATTTTCATAAAAGCCAAAAGAAATGGAGTCTGAAGCAAGATAGCTGTGTGTAGATAATGTTAAGTCCAGATTAATGCTCACCTTTCTTCTAATGGATCGAGTCTACTCTAATACTTAATATAGTTGCTGAGGGATGAGAGTGCTGTGAAGGTTGTATCATTTTATTTATTTAAGTCATTACGTTGTTAATGCTACTAAAATAATAAGAGGGAAAATTCCTAGAGTATTTTCAATTTTTTTCTTCCCCATTAATTACTTTCAGTCCCCGAGGTACAGTGAAATACTTCTTCCAGGTTTTTTTTTTTCTTTTTCTTTTTTTCTTTTTTTTGACCATTTAAATACCTCTGGCTTTTAAGAAATGTGAGAGCGAGTTATTTGCCCACTTTATTCTTATGTGAGGTTGTATCCATATTGGAAAGCCTGAAGAACCAGGATCTGGAAGGAAATCCTTATTTGATTGTTTTGTTTCTTTCATTCTTTTAGCCAATCTTCTTTGGTTGTGCCAGGATCTGTGGCCAAGGGGTAGTAACTAAAGAGGATTCATCATTTCTTGGTCAACAAAGCAAGGGGGTAATGGTGCTATCTGGAGCTCTGAAATCCATCCATTACGTGTGTTAGCTCTTGTGTAAGTACTGTACATCTCTACTTGTCAACACTCATGGAGATAAATTATTTCAGGTTTGCTTATTTATTTTAGAGAGAGAGAGTGCTAGTGGAGTAAGTGTGGAGGGAGATAGAGAGACTCAAGATGACTTCTCACTGAGCACAGAGCCTGAACTGGGGCTCGATCCCACAATCCCAAGATCGTGACCTGAGCTGAAACCAAGAGTTGGGTGCTCAACCGATAGAACCACCCAGGCCACCCAAGGAGAGAAATTATTTAAAGGAAGAAATAACACATAAAAGTAATAACTGGAAAAATCAGAAAAGCAATGATTCTTGGAGTATTAATATTTGATCATGTGCATATTTCTGACCTAAAATACACTTCTAAAAACATTTTTAAGTAGTTTTTTTTTTTTTTCCCCCACTCATGGGCACCTACATGGGTCAGTTGGTTAAGCCTCTGCCTTTGGCTCAAGTCGCAACCTCAAGGTCCTGGGATCCAGCCCCATGTTGGGAATCCCTGCTCAGCAGGGAGTCTGCTTCTCCTGCTCCCTCTGCTCCTCCCCCCTGCCTGTGCTCACTCTCTCTCTCTCTCTCAAATAAATAAAATATTTTAAAAAATTAAACAAATTATTTTTCTAAGATGAGTCTAGCCAGCCACCTCCAATTGATGGGTAGAAATTCAAGTATGATATTGAACAATGAATCCTTAAGTCAGAATTTATTGACTACTTGCTATGTGTCAGGAACTATACTTGCATGCCTTGTGTCATTTAAACCTTACAGACCATATAGTAAATAGGAAATGCAAAGGACTTCAATTTTAGGAGCTTTTCTTCCTTCCTTCCTTCCTTCCTTTCTTTAAAAAGTTTATTTATTCATCAGAGAGAGAGGGAGAGAGAGTGAGCGAGCACAGGCAGAGGGAGCAGCAAGAGAGGGAGAAGCAGACTAACCACTGAGCAGGGAGCCCAATATGGGACTCTGATCCACCAACTCAGCGTTTTCCACCAACTCAGGGGCAGAAACCTTCACAGGCTTCACAATCTTTTGCTTAGGTGCTACCTTCATGGGAGCCTTAGCAGTAGCCATTGCTGTCTTTTTAGATGCTTGCTTAGCTTTTTTTGCTTCCTTGGCAGCCCTGATGGCCTGTTCTCGTTGTGCCTTCCTAACTTCAGGTTTCTGATTCCTCTTGGCCATTATATCAGCAAGAGATGCACCACTGATGGCCCTCTGGAATTTGACTGCACAGTGGGTCATGGGATCATGACCTGAGCCGAAGGCAGCCGCTTAACTGACTGAGCCACTGAAGCATCCCTAATTATAGGAGTCTTTCTGTCACCACTCCAATTAAAGTTCTCTATAACTTACTTAATTGGATGATACATTTTTCTTTTTTCTAATGTGGACATAATAGTAATGTCCATCTTAAAAAGGGAGGGGTAACGTCAATGTTTTCCATAACAGAACAGAAAGGAATCTGTCATCTTTTGTGCAAATATATTTTCTTTTTTTAAATATATTTATTATTTTATTTTATTTTTTCAGTGTTCCAAGATTCATTGTTTAGGCACCACACCCAGTGCTCCATGTAATACGTGCCCTCCTTAATACCCACCACCAGGTTCACCC